CAAAGCTTGCCTGGCGGCCGACAGCTCGCCAGCCTGGTGCAGTGCTGCATGTTCCTGTTTGAGATGCTGGAGTTCATGAGTTCGTGCACCGTAGCTGCCCTTCGCGTGGGTGCGGGGGAAGTGCACCGAAGCCAGGTGGCTGTGCGGCAGCGGTTGCGCCCAGGCTTGAGAGGCGAGCACGCCTGATGTGGAGCATGCAGCTCGATGGTCTCCGCACGCCTCGAGCGCAGCGGCAGGAGCAACTGCGCCAACCTACCCGGAGGCTGCGAGTCGGGTATGGCAACATCATCCGACGTGGGCAAAACCGTGAAGACTCGGGCTGCGTGCGGTCCAGCTTGCGAGAGCAACAGCGCACGGGACGCAGGGGTCAAGTCAGCAAGGTGCGTTTCGAGCGTGCGCTCGTCGCAGGCATGGGGTGGGAGGCTCTGCCGGCAGGTTTGTCATGTCGGGGGTGCGGGCCCGGAACATTGGACATGGGTTCATTCCATGACGGCCTTGCGTAGCAGTGTGCGGTTAGGTAGGCCGCTGCCTGTGTCGCAGCCAGGAGCGAAGGCAATCGCAGCTTTGTCGTCGCGCAAAGCTGCGAGCGGGCGCTCCGCAGCTGAGGCGGCTCGAGCTTGGATGACCGGCAGGGTGTCCATCCAGGAAGCCCAGTAGGCTGCGTGACGGGCGGGCCCGCCAAACTGCAGCGCGTGCCGTGCTGCTCGTGCTGGTTGCGGGGACATCGGTGCGTCCGCAAAGCCCAGGTGTGCTGAGAGGCAGTGGCGTACGGCTGCGTCATCCGTGGAAGCATAGATTGCCGTCGTGGCTGGGGGCAGGGACCGCAGGAGGTAGTTGGCCGCGGAGCAGGACAATAGTGCAGCAACAGCCATGCCGCCTGTATGCGCCTGCAAGTTTTGGACAAACGGGATGCGTTGCAGGAGGCGGTCGTGTTCTTCGTTTTTGAGACCCAGGCGCTGTTGGACGTAGGCGTCCGAAACATAGTAGCGCGTGCGTCGCTGCCTCGCGGCACCCTCCCGGGAGCTGCGTCGCCGCGGGAACCATTTGGCAGGCTTGATACTCGACCCATTGCGCGCGGTGGTAAGCTTGAACCCCGCAACTTGGGCCAAATCTTGAGCGAAAACTTGAGCCAAAATGGCTGCGGATCCAACCGCCCCGCGCACGGCCTGCACCCACGCGTGCTCGAGTACGAAGCCGCGGCGAGGCGTAGGCCTGTGTGGGGGCAGGCGAGGTGAGCGACTGCCAAAACCGGCTGGTGGTGCTAATGGACGCAACATGAGGGGTGTCGCTTTCCAAATGTTCCCATCGTTTTACAGGGTTTTGGCATCAATCATCCACGCTTGATGTTTGCAGGTGTCGCTTTGGGAATAAAAACAAGCTGTAGCACACCCAACGGCTCATTGACTTAGGGGTGTCGCTTTTCAAGTGTTCCCATCGCTTTACAGGGTTTTGGGCATTCGTGTCCACCCCTTACTTACTTGAATGGCTGGGGGTTTTGGCGCTTGTTCAGGTAGTGACGGCAGCCCGGGCGACCATCCCATGGGGAACCCCCAACCCTCAGCGACCTGCTTGCCCATTGTTCCCTGCTCCCGCCCCTCAAGTTCACGAGTCTGAAACCGTGCTGTCTGCGGGCCTGCTGGGACGAATTCCAACCCAAAGCAAACGGACGGATGCACGTACGTCTGAGATATGCATTCCACGAAGAAAAGTGGAAGATCCGCAGACCCCGTCCAAAACAGACACGCAGCCATTTTGCGCTCGCCACGCGCTAGCCGCTAGCAACTGGCCAATATGCGCTTTCCAAAACAAGTTTTCGTGCGGTTTCTATCTCTGAGTCTCGGGCTCGAGCGCTGCCACAGGGGCCGTCATCCAGGGTGAAACAGCTTCAGCGCGCACTCCGCTCGCATGTGAAGGGCTTGTTGCCAACGGACGAGGGAACTTGATGCGAGTCGGGCGCCGCATGCCAACTGACGAACGTATACGAACGTGCGCAAGCCTCATTTTGGAGGGACTTTGCCGCCACCTCAAGTTTCAGCAAGGTTTGTTTGCCCACAGCCACATCCACCTTCACGCGTCCAAACCACCTCCCTACCTCCGGGGGCTTCGAGTGCTCGGCTCCTTTCGGCACACCCAGGTGGCGACACATTTTGTCTTCACAGCGACTTGACGGTCTGTCAGCTGACGGCACCAAAGAACCAAAGAAATCTACATATGATGCCATCCGTCTCTGGGTATTGATACCCCATCGCCAGGGCCTTGTCAGCTGTTGGCGCACAGCAGGATAACAAGTACGGCCCAACTTCGAGCTGCCTCATCTGAATTGGACCGTTCAGCCCCCCGAAATACCGGAAAAGACGGACAGTGGCGCATGGAAATGCGCTTGCACTAATCATCACATCAATGGTTTCATCGCCAGTGGAGCTTTCGGGAGTGTCTGCGTGCCACACATGCGCATTGATGTACGGCTACCTCTTCAAGCCTTGCAGCTGCAGCTTACACAAGGGAGGAGAGTGGAAGAGTGAGACTGCAGACTGCGGGGGCAACATGGCCAGATCCCGAGCTTTCGATCAACCAACGTCCATCGCCTCATTGCAATGTTTCGCAAAATGTCTCGAGCTGTGCTTGCTGACGTGTCGTAGCTTGGCAGGTATGGGGAAGGGACGGAGGAGTCCACGCGGTCAACGTTGGAGGTGATGTGGAGAGGCAAGGAGAGCAGGATGGCATGCATGCGAGCGGACCAAGAGGGGCCAAGGGCTGGCACGTTGGCGGAGACGCAGGCTGGGAGGCCGGGAGGGTGTGGGGAAGGGCGAGCGCGCGAGCACAATCTGACCGACGAACTCAACAACTTTCAACTTTGGCATTATTTGGCATCTCAACGCGACGTCCCCACTCATCGGTTTTCCGCGCTCTGTTGCTTTGCCAGCGTTCGTGGCCGCAGCTTCGGTCAAGCTGCAAGGACCACTGTCAGCAAGCGTTGGCGCAACGAAGCCTAGATCTTGAAGATCTTAGTCCATCTGGCGGGATTTGGTGGGCCTCTCACTCCGCCTTGATTTGCGTTTGATGGCGCTACTCAACGTCCCCCGGCGTCGCTCCTTTTTGCTTTGCGTCGCTCGGCCTTGCTCTACTCAGCGTCGCTCGGCGTCGCTCCTTTTTGTTTGGCGTCTCTCGGGATGGCTGACGACGGCGTCGCTTAGCGAGCGAAGACGAGCGATGACAAGTGACGCAGAGCAAAGACGAGGGAAGACGAGGAAAGACACGCGGACACAAACGAAGACAAATCAGGCCTCGCTTGTCGGCGTCGCTGGTTTTCGCTCGGCGTCGCTCAGCCTCTCTCGGCGCAACGCGACGTTTCTCGCGGCGCTCAGCGTGGCTCGGGGTCGCTCGGCATCGCCTGCGCTCGGCGTCGGTCGGCGAGCGAAGGCGAAGGCGAAGACGAGCGATGACGAGTGAAGCAGAGCATAGACGAGCGAACTGTACACAAGCGAAAGTCTAGCTCCCTAATCTACCTGCAAGCTCGCCCAGGAAAAAACCGCTCAGAAACATGAACGCGCAGCAGCCTTTTGCCCCCACAATGGTTGGCCAAGCAATTCTCCCGCGCTGTGCGCATGAGCAACGTCCGTGACCGTCCAGCTGCAACAGTCTTCACTTTGGTTTGCTTCGTCCAAGCTTAGAACATGCGTACTGAAGACATGCTGCTTCCCAGCTCATGTGGTGTACCCCGGTGAGGCAGGTCGGGCTCTGGACTCGCGATGCGCCACAAACTCAGCCATGGCAACAGCAACACACAGCAACCATTCCAAACGGGTGATGGCAGCGCGCTCTACGACGCTGGTGTGGGGGGCCCCTTGCGTTGGGCCATGCGTGGCGTCCTCTCACAGGAGCCATCATACAAAGGTCCACATCATCTTGAAAGGCACTTGGCAAAACCTTCGTTTCACCTCGGACGCCAAAACACGGTCACGGGCAGCACGGGCTTCACCGGACCGCAATCTTTGCTTCCACAGTTTGTGAGTATAGCTCGTTTGTACAAATCGTTGATCCCCATGTTTGCAGTGGTCGCCCGCAACGACGATGGCGTCAACTCAGAACTCGCAAACAACTGTCCTGCGCACGGCCTCTGAACATCGTCATCTGATGTCATCTGGCAAATTTGCTATTCGCCCACGCAAGAACCACTGACGCTACTTCGCGAGCCTTGCGCCTTTTCGGAGGTCCCAAGCGTACATCTAGAAAACTGGAGTACAGCGACGAGGGCCTAGAACAATCCGACGCGCGTTGGAATCTCCATATGCATCGCCGCTTGGACTGAGTCGATTCGAAATCGCAGCATCACTTTGCTCATATTTCCACACTCGGCTGGTAGAATGCATTTCAAAGCGTCGGATGCACGAGCTCTACATCCTCATGTTAGTGCGATATAGTTCGTCCGGTCGCGTCAGTTGCGTTTACATTCCCAATTCCCACAATGTAGAAGCAGCTTCTGTCAGCACACTTTTTGTTGTGAGGGAGCTAGATTGTCACCACAAGCGCCTTGGGCGGCTGAGGTACTTCTGTACATAAGACTTGTGCTCTAAGTTGCGAAGCTGCACATGCCTCAGGCAACACGCAGACAGAAGCATTACCAAGCTCTGGAGACCGGGTGGTGGTAAGAAACATAAAACACCGTCCGTGGTGGTCGACAACCCCTTGCGTGAGATGTACGCACATACTCTGCAACAAGATCCACCTCCAGCAAAACTAAAACGGTTGACACCGCTTGGCGGTGGACAGTCGTTAATTATCCGCTGACCTGCCTTATGTCTTCCCCCTCTGGACTTACCTTTTTCTACCTCATCCCTCTTTTTTTGGCGGGCAGCACCTGCGCCCTCTCTCAGCGGCTTGGACGAAGCAGCTGCGAATCGGCTCGAGCTCGAGGAGGCGCGTGGCGAAGCTTCCACACGGAACCTTCTTGGCCTCGTGTGAAACTAAACAATGCTGAGACAAGAGAAACCGCTCCGCAACTACTGCTTTGCTGCATTTGGCCAAAGACATTCTGCCCGGCCTTCCACAGGAAAGTACTCGCCCGTGACATAGGAATCCCCACGCAAGGAGGTGACTTCCAGAGGCCCCAAAGCCGTCGAAGGTGTCGAAGCCGTCGGAGCCGTGGGAGCTGTCGAAGTCAGAAACCAGGAGCCATCGCTGCCGCTGGAGATCCACGGTCCATCGCTGGAGCCCGCTCGCTTCCAGACATGCCGGTGGTTCCTGAACTCACCTGGCGTTGCAAGAAACCGGAAGAGAAATCTCGTCAGAGCACACCCTGAACCCTAAAACCTAAACCCTAAACCCTTTTCAGCTCCACGCCTTGAACAAGCCAATACTTGCCTGAGACGTGCTCCCTGGACTCACAGCTCACGTGTAGGACTGTGGGACCTTCCGGCGGATTCGTCTGGACCATGAGGCTGGAGTCTGCGTCCCACCCGCTCTCGCGCTTCACCTGGTCTCGAGCCTACAACTTATGTGGATGATCTGTCCCTGGGAAAGTACTGTACGGCCCCCTAAACCCTAAACCCTAAACCCTCGTGGAAAAGGCTTCATTTTGAAAGTCAGAACAGCGGATGTCATTTCGGAACACAGCAGAGGGCCGTTTTGCTTAAAGAATGAACCGATCCAGAACACAGCAGCCTGCATAGGTACTAACACGCTGCAGACGCGTCCGCGTTAAATGTGCCACCTCTGGGCCGTCAGTTTTGGCACGCGGTATGTTAAATGCAAATGAGACCCAGCGCCTCAGCAAAATCACTGCAAGACCGGCTGCAGATTTTACATTCCGAACTGACACCTTTCCACGTCTAGGGCAAGAGCGGATCCTATCACTGCTCAGGTTGTCCCCCGCCTGCCAACCCTCGTAGCACAGGTGAGGCATGGAGCCGCCGTGAGGCAGGAGCGATGCGACGCTTCCCATGCAGCACTTGCTGTGCCTCTCACAGACCTGCGTGGAAGCTTGGGTTTAACGAGTTTTGGCTTCAAGTCAAGCCGGGATTTGGGGGTGCGCTCGATCATCCAGGTCCAACAGGGAAGCATGTCACCCAGTGTTCAGAGAATTTCGTTCACCAGCCTGCCGGGAGATGCACCAGAAGCCATCGCAGGAGCTGTACAGCAAACTGCTCTCGCCCGGTTCTGCTCGCCCCCACACGGGCTGGCCATTCAGATACTCGTCCCAGAGGAGCTGGTACCTCAGCTCTGAGATTGCTCAATCGCCAGAAGGCCAGAAGGTCTATTGAGCAGCCAGTCTCCTGCCCCATCACGTATCCACGGCATGGACGAGCCAAGCTGCACACCGGACTTGCCCAGCTGCGCCGGCGAGCATACCACGTGCAGCACCGGCGGGAAAGCTGAGGCCAGGGATCCTCGCAGCACGCGCGCGTCGCTGGCCGCCTTCCATCCTGGCAGGGGGCTTTCAAGGGACACCCAGTGGAAAGTAGGACACAGGGAGCCGGAAGGAGCGGTGAAGGTGTTGAGAAAGGCCTTCGGCATCCTTGACTTTCCAGCCGCGCGTCTCGTAGCAAGGAAGCATTCCTCCATGAGGATATGCCGATGCAACGTTGCCAATGCTACCTGGACGCCGTGTTTACTTCGTTCAAAAGTATGCTCAAAAAGCAACGCTCTGAGCATTAAGCTAGCCGTTGACAGTGCCGCAAAGCTGCAGTTGAATGCCAGCGCATGAGCTTTGGGGCCACCGACATGCCAATGACCAGTGTTTCCACTGTACAACCATGCCTGTCAGGGACTTGCCAGCTGTCCACAAGTTACGTCACAACGTTCGTTCTTGGGATGTTCCCCCTTATAGAAACAGTCCTTGGGATTAATGTTGACTTCACATTAGTGGATCCACCCGCAATTGTAAAATCCCGCTGCCGGAACACAATAGTGTAGCCCGCCACAATTGTAAAATCCGACCCGGGAAATCCGGTTTTTACGGGCGTGGTGCTACTACCTAATACTAAAGCTAATACTACGTCCTACCAGGATTTAGGCGAACAGTATTGAGGAGGCCCTGGCCGGAGAGATTGATCAATGAAGGGGGGGGGGGGTTTATTAATGCGAAGTCAACATTATCATAGGGGGTACTATAATCCCTATTAAGGACTGTCAGTACATGGGGGAACATCCCCAAGTTACGGGGCACTCCATGGCACTCCTCCTCTCCAGCTCCGACGCGCTTCCAAATGCACTGGCCGTTGGCAGCACAGCCCGAGACCATCTGATACTTGCCAGCAAGCTTCCTGGAAGCTGGGCGGAAGCTAGGCAACAACGCACGCAAATTGCCCTTTCCGAGGGACCATAGCCACAGCGCAGCTGCTTGGGGTAAGGTGTGCAACGGAAACCAAAGGGAATGTAACGGAAATTAAACCGAAAACCGAAACGGAAAGCAAGAAAAATTGTAACGGAAATCACGCCCGCAAACCTGGAAACCAGACGCAGGTGTAGCGGAAACCAACCCTAAAACCTAAACCTAAACCAACCCTAAACCCCAAACCCTAAAGCCTAGACCCTAAACCCTAAACCCTAGCCCCTAAACCCTGAAACAAAGATCCCGCGTTGGTTTCTGTTACGCCCCGGCAAGGTTTCTGAAACGGTTTCAAGCCGGCAGTTTCCGTTACAACCCGCCAATTTCCGTAACAGACTTTACTCGCTGCTCTACCAGTACCGCAGCAACTCCAAAAACAAGGTCATGGTGAAGAAACCAGCTTTTACCCTGTGACAGAAAGGTCGAGTGAACAGCCAGGAGGACTGACATGAACTGGCCAAGGAGCTGCTGTCCGCTGGGCATCAGGAGCGTCAACTCCAGGGGATAGTCAGGTAGACGGGTCACCACTGCGATGTCGGGATCGGGCAAGTATCCTTCACGCGCATTCACGAACCTTGGCTACAAATGCTGGCTGCAACTCAACACATGGCATGACAGGACTTCCTTTGGAAAACTGAGGGCTGTTCCCATGCCATCTCCCTGGCAGCATGTCCGGCATTACTCCGCCATGTGGGCTTGAGCAAATGAAGCCGTCTTCGCCAACAAAGTTCTTTTCATAGGCCTCATGGGCATGCACAGTTTCCACCAAAGGCCCGAGGTGTAGCACAACATGTACAACACCACGCCTGTCGATCAGCAACCTCGGTCGGTCACCACAAGTGAGAATGTCTAAAGAACCGCGGGTGGGGAACATGTGCATGACAAGCGGCACGCCATTTGCCATCTGTGCCGCCATACAGCCAAAGTTCTTCTCCAGTTCCTTCTCTTTTCCAAAGTGGCTGATCGTTGGCCACATGGCCTCTCCACATACACCACATAAAGGCAACACTGCGCGGCTAGCTTCCAAGGATCCGCGCCTGAGACCAAGGAGTAAATCCCGCTGACATGACTGTGAGTGTTGTGCGAGGCCACGTAGAGCTGCACCACCGCTTCGGCCGGCTCTGCCGAAAAACAGATGTCGGCGTCCAAGCACCAGCCTGCGACATTGAAATGTCACACAAGCAACGACCCCGGACGGACTTCTTGGTGGCCTTGTTCTGCTTTGTACTGCCAAGCGTCATCGAAGAGCTGAAGCGGCATTACCTCGGAAAGCTCGCGATGCGGAGCGGCACCGAAAGACGAGGCTCAAAGATCAAAGGAAGACAGGGGCTCTAAAAGTCGGACCAGGATTACGACAAGACCCTCAGAGGACACCCCCAAAAGCTTTTGTGACAGCAAAAGTATGGCTATACAGATATATATATATATATATATGTACTATACTGCATATGGCATCTAGTACTTAGTAAAAAATGATGTATTAAAATTTCTAGCACGGCCTTTGCAAGTATTGTTTGATCTGCAGTGTGACTATATGGCATATACTATACAATATCTTGCATCCAGCAAGTAGCACATCTAGAGGACACAGTACATAGTTGTTAACTAGTATATAGTACATAGTACATAGTACATGGTACATAGTGTGTAGTGTAAAATATGGCAGTTGCAGTTACTCTGTGTTATATATATATATATATATCTTTGTATGTAATGTATAAGACCGCATAAAGTGACTATAGCACAGCATAGTAGAGGCTAGTACAGCACCGTACGGCACAGTACAATCCAGTATTAGTTTTGCGGCGTGTCATGCAGCATCGCACATGACCATGCCGCATTGACTGTTGCAAATAGTGAGGGTGACGAGGGGCCCCGCCATGTGGGTCTGCAGAGGACACTCTGCCAAGGGTGCAATCGTACGACCTCTGCGTCACTTCGGTTGAACCTGATGTGAAAAAAAAAACGCTCTCTGCTCTGCAGGCATATGAATCACGTGGTGTCTTGCATACCGCTTGAAATTCAGACGAGATGTACAACAGGAGCCGAGGTTCTGCCGACGTACCACCGGCCATCGCTTCCCGTGTACAGAATCTTTTCACCCGAACTTCCACCTACCCATATCCTGGACAGCTTGAGGCGAAGCACCCTCATGCCTGCTTCGGGGACACTGAGTGGAGGGAGCGCGTGCTTGTGCAAGAACACAGCAACATGTCTTCATGCAGTTGGGCGTCGGATAGCCATGGACGAGCATGCCTTGCACAAGTTGATATCTGCCTGCCTGCCAGGGTTGATTTTGAAAGTGCAGCAGATGTGCGAAAGTCTGCCTGCCCAGCTTCAGGTCCTCAAAAATGGTTCATGATGCAACGGATGCAGATGGCCTTCTTCTGCTCTGCATTGGGGGTCGACAAATACACATCCTGAGCTGGCAATGGGAAGGTGACAAAAAGAAGCAGCTGCTTTACCAGGACAGCCCCCTTGCGTCTCTTAGCAAAAGACTGCGGCAGCTGTTGGAGGCGACGTTCCCAGCCGGATTTCTTCATCTTCACACCAGGCATCCTTCTGGATTTCAAGATCTGCGTATTCATGGATAAGCAGAGACAAGGCACATGCACACCATGTTCCCAGAAAGCACAAGAAGATCTATCATTCTTTTTGAAGTCTTGGTATTGGGGGCGTCCATGTAGGGGTCCTCGTCTTGCAAAAGCCAGGAGGTTTGCCGATGCGGCATGGACCCGAAGTGAGGGTGAGAACGCATCTGAGCCAGGCTGCACCTAAACTTCTGGCTCGCCACCTCGTGGCCGGCGATGCACCACCGCCCTGGGCACGGTCGCAACATGTTGACTGCATTAATATTGTTACATGTTGCAGCAGCAAAGCGCGAAGCACCAGTGCCACAAAGCACAGCTGCCAAGCCAGGGCATCCAAGCGTCCATTGGTGCCGCTGTACAGCCAAGCTACGGCCCCCGCGCCACTTCTCTTCCAAACAGGATGTCCGTTCGCAAGCATGCCTGTCATACATATAACCATATCTAACATACATTACATCATATTACACACTGAACCACACCCTGCATCCCAATCTGGAGGCACGACCCTCGAGCAATTCGAAGCGCCCGGTCAAGCTCTTCGCACCATTCCTAAGCACAAGTTGTCTACACAAAAAAGGCGCAGAGATAGACTCTGATGGACTCTCGGAGAGGCATGTGGCTTCTGAGCCTTGGGCTGTGATGTCACCCAGAGCAGCGCAGGTGGCTGCTCGAATGGTGTGGTGGTTATTCCTGATAGGAAACAGCTCTGCCACACGGGTCACGGGAAGCAGCACATGTAAGGAGTCGCAGTGGTTGCCGGTCAAGCTTCGGATGTCATCGTCCTGCTGCCAGCCCTCGCTCGTCTTGATGCCCCAGCCTGTCAGAACAAGATCCACGGTCTGAACAGTCCCAGCTAGGGGATGCTTCAAGACCGCTACTTTGCCACGCTTCTGCCTCGCGAAGCCCCGGCGAAGGTATGCGGCAGTAGGCCTTCAGTCGACATGACCCCCGGATCCCCCGAACCCCAGCAGGATATCGCAGGATATCGCAGGATATCGCAGGATGTGCCACTGAGCACCCCGGCCTGCATGCGGCCTCGATGAGGCGATGCCACCGAAGCTGCAGTTGAATTCCCTGCGGGACGTCCAACATGCATTGGTCCAGCTATCTTTGCTGGCCCTTGTAGCACAGATGTCACAGATGTACCCGAGCGATAGGCCCAGGGCTAATGCAAGAAATCCTGCAACCCTAAAGCCCAGACCCGACCCTGAACCCGACCGGCCTTTCGATCGCTAGATTTCTGCTCACAACATACCTCAGGTCCAGTTCCAGTATCGACAAATGATTAGAGCAGCAGTGCTAAAACACAAACTCAAAAATATGTATAGAATTAAGGGCTCCCTTGTGTCTTTCATAGCCAAGGTTGTTGAAATTCTGGTGCCTTTCTGGTCCCGCATATTTGGGGTCCCTCAAAGTGACCAGGGTTGACCACATGGAGATCGAAATCTAGGCGGCAATTTTCTCAGCCAAGATTCCACTTGCCGTTCCTGCCACTGTAAAGGTACGCTTCCTCCCCATATCCGGCACGCTTCCAGAATGGGTAGCCATTCGCGAGCTGCCCGTCGCTATGCCGATATTCTCCACTAAGCTTCTGATGCCCATGCCTCGAGCTCCAAGCGCGAGGGTTGGAACTGTGAACGCTCTTACCCGCAAGCCTGTCCTGACACACCAAGACTGTAACATACTGACTAACCTTCTGGCTTCGACTCACTCAGGCAGGGCACGGCGACGTCACGTAAATCGTCTCTGGCGCAGGTGAGGAGGGCAACACAAAACGAATGGAGAGATCCTGCCAAACATCCCGGGCTTCGGGCATTGTCGGGCGATCGGAAAACATGCGGTGCTGGGCGGCTGCTGCTCTCCAAGCTTTCTGTTGCCCCCGTCCTTGTTCCACCCACGACTGTCCTGCAAGTGGCTCAAACATCATATCAACCACAGCCACAGGACTTTGGGGGCACGGATGCTGCGATGATGAACTGAACAGCTAGGTCACGGCAAGGAAGACATCGGACATTCGCATGATGCCAGGACAGCCAGCCCTCTTCAGCACAAGTCACAGCACTTCTACTGCGTGCCAACGTCCTTGTATTGCCAAGAGTGCTCCTCGAGCATGTTGGGAAGGAGTCCTTGACACACGCGAAGCACTTGCAAAAGGAAAGCGAGGACTTGCTTGGAAGAACTTGCTGCTCGCACAGCAGGAGTTATCGAGGAGTGATCTGTTGCGTTTGTCAAATCCCGGTGAAGGCCTCGGTGTTCATCGATGCTGGAGACCAGGCCACGACCACACTGAAATTCGGACTCCTCAACTACCTCCAAGCAAAGCGGATGTTCAATACGACTGTCGTGTTCAGATATTTTGAAGGTGCACCTTGTTACAGCTGACGTACCACTTCTTGTTGGGACCACCTGGCCGCGCAGTCCAAGCAAGGCGTTTAACCAGGAAGCCCCATGTCCTGTTCTCATGTTTGTCATGGCGCGCTGTCGGAACAACCCTAAACCCTCAACCCTAAACCCTAGACCCTAAACCCTAAACCCTAAACCCTAAACCCCAAACCCCAACCCCTAAAGCCCTAAACCCTAAACCGTGCAGCCCAGGGTGCTGTAGATCCATGCCTGTTCCCCGACTCCAACCCTCTTCCAAACGGGGAAGCCGTTGGAGATCTGGCCCTCGATGAGCTGGTACAGGCCTGGTGCGGCTTTTGCAATTTTCCATTGCGCCACTGCTTTGCCACTACTGGCACACTGACTACTTATCCCAATATATATATATATATATATACGCATATTATTTACATCTATATATATATACATATTCTATATATATATATATATGATTATATGTACCAGCCTCCAAGCTTCTGCTGGCCAGCCCGAGATGTGAAGGACAACTGAGAGGGAATCTCTTGTGTCCGAGGCATCGGGCAACCCGCCGTTACAGTACTTGCAGCATCCTTCAGCTATGCGTTTTGGAGACTAAAGATCTGAATCTTCCATGTTTAAGGCATTGGCAGTCATCCTTCCGTGTGCTGCTTGCGCCGCAGATATGTGGACCCAGCTGATCTGCTTAGCATTTGGTCAACTTCATGACGCTCTTGTGGCCCAAGAGTCTATGGAACTACGAGCCGAATGGCAGAGTCGTCTGAATGTCCAAAGTGGCCCTCTCTCCTTCTTGGTCCCCTCGATATTGCTGTCCTTCATTCCTTCTGTCGCGTCTTTTCCTGTGCACTTAATCCTCCAAAGAGCCAGAACAAACATGTCGACATAACACCAAAGGCAGCGCTTCCTTTTTGCTCGGGCAGGGGTGAGACCGAACAGCCCTTGCCCAGCGATCCTGGAAATCAGCCGGGCCCAAGCGAGCTGACAGACCTTGCCTCTGCTGCGGCTCGTTCTGCAAGTCCTCTCCTAAACCCCCCCCATAAGGCTAAACCCTGACCCCCTGAACCCCAAACCCGTGAAAGCTGTCGAAGAACAGCGCCCGACTCACAGGGGCCTTGAAGGCGCCTTAGCTGCAAATGCGCCAAGCTCGCTAACGCTTTTAGGTTCAAGCCCCCCCCCCTTACCTCCGGCGACGCGCTCGCCTTCTAATTCGTGACCCCCAAAGACCCATACTGAGGCATCCGGCTGATGTTAGATCTCCGTCCCCTCGCTGGTTTTGGGACTCCGGCATCAGTGGATCCTCATGAATGATAACACGCAGAGCTGCCAGGGCTAGAAAAAGGGACAGCAGGAAGGCGTGCCTGCGCTTCATCTGTCCCTTCCTGCAGCATGAGCGGCCAAATCAGCTGTCAAGAGAAGGCCAAACCAGAGAGGTGTCTGCTCACGAAGCTGCTTGCTGCTCCTCTCTCGGGAACCACAACCATGCTGGCAGCATGAAGAGGGTGCAGGCCTATACCAGCAGTTGAGCGAGAAACAATGTACCGAAAAGAAGAAAAGAACGTATGCAGAAACACTGGTCCGCACCAGCAGGGACCAGATGGTCACAGTGAAGGAAAACCTGCAGAGAGCAGCCCCTAAACCCTAAACCCAAAACTCGAAACGCTTTCGAGAGCAGCCGGGGCCCCCACTCGTAGCCATGCCTGTCCTTGGGAAGTTGGTGGGTTTATAGGACTATTGTATGGATATCGTGGGTTGGTAGAAGGGTAGAGGGCTATTGGAGCGCAGAGCCGCCATAAAGCTCACCATCAGGTTCGCACTCAGCACATCCGAGTGCAGCACAGCAAGAAATCCGCCCAAGACGGCAGAAGCGCTGAAGGAGAGCGTACGAAGCCTCTGTCTTCGGCCCCACGGGACAGGGCCTAGGGTTTAAGGCTTGTACAGCATCTGCCAATCTTGTGCCCAAGATGCGAGTTCAGGGCGGCCCATCGGCTTCGCCTCATGGTGGCTCATGATGGCTCGCACGGAGCCACGCAGCACGCAAGGACTTGGCACATGCAAGTTGTGCTGAGCCTCTGGCTGGCTCAAGGGCACGCAATCCATGGTAACAGAATACAGGACCGGGTCCCTTGCATGTAAGCCTTACGCTGGGGCAGATCAACCCGCAACTGCTTCGTAGGGATTAGCATACGGGAACAAACCGCCAGATCTCCCGAGCCAGGAGCAAGCGAAGCGCAGAAGGTAGCAGGCACAGGCTACCAGCCTTAGTTTCACCAGTTTGCACATTGGTTCCACGATCCGGCTCGGCTTGCAGACGTCTGAGCTGCTCACACTGGGGGGTTGAACATGTTTCCACCATAAATACCAAGAGTGGCAACAGCGGAGCCTGGCCAACTCCGTATCAAAAAGTGGCACAGCCAAAAAATGCAAAGGGTAAAAGCAAGGGGGCATGCTATCATATTACCGGCATCTTGAAACACTCTGACAAACATCGCGCCTATGTGAAGAAGCAGAGCGAGGTTGCACCGGCCCAGCCGAACTGCAGTCGCAGGAAGGGTTTCGGGCCTATTTGAACTGACCTAAGTGCATCGGGCTGGTCAGATGACATAGACGGGTGCTGCTGGTGATGCCTGTTTATGGTTGCGGTTCGCAGTTCGCCGGTCCCCCCCCCCTCCCGTCCCCATGGCATGCCTCCTCCGCCCTCCCGACCCCCACTAAACCTTAAACCCTAAACCCTAAACCTTAAACCCCAAACCCCAACCCCCAACCACTCCACATGGGGGACCGTAAACCCTAAACCTCAAACCCTAAACCTACGCACCGTGTGACAGCTTAGAAACCTGAACCTTAAACCTTAAAGCGGACCACACCAAAGGCCGGGGGGGGGGGGGTACCATGGGGGGGGGGGGGGGGCCCTTATCCGGCTCCAAGAAGCCCCCCACCGCCACCACCCCATTCACGGCACAAACCCTAAACTTATGTAAACCCTAAACCTCAGACCTTAAACCCTAAAACCTAACCCCCCAAACCACACCCACACCACAAGGGGGTCTCTTCAACCTTCAACCCCAAACCCTAACCCCAACCCCCCGATCACACCACGGCCCTAAGCCTTAAACCCTAAACTCCGAACCCTAAACAAGCCTAAACCCCCGAAAACCCTAAAACCCTGAAACCCTAAAAACCCTGAAACCCTGAAAGCCTAAAAACCTTGAAACCCTAAACCCTAAACCCTAAAAGCCTACAACCCCTAAAACCCCAAATCCCCTAAACCCAAGCCCTAAACCCTAACATCCTATGTTCTAAACCCACCCCCCCCCCCGCCCTTACCCCGCCCCCCAACCACCCCCAACTCAAAGGCAAGGGGCGGGGGGGGGAGGGGGGGGAGGGCGGGGAGCGGGGGGTTTGGGTGGGGGGGCTTTACATCTGTATCTAGATTTGGTCTGTAATTGTTACTATGTATGTTTCTTGAATATATCCTACTCGCCAACAGACCCCCCGAAACCCCAAAAGACCCCCCACCCCACCCTTTCTGCACACAATACAAGTGCAATACAAGGGCCTGAAAGTGGCTTTCCAAGCTGGGCAAAAGCAGCGATGAAAAGCCTGGCAGAAGAGCTGGGAGGGAGGCGTGGCAATTTGGGATGGAGGAGGCAAGCATTCTGGCAGGCCTGCACACCGCGTTCAAGATGCAGAGCCTTGGCTTCTTTTCGGAAGCAATGCTGAGCACGGACATCTTCAGGCTCGGTGTCTTGAGGCCCATGAGGAGCAAGCTGGGCTGGGGTGAACCTGTCGACAAAGGTCAGATCGCACATCGCAGGTGGGCGTATCAAGACAGAGTAAAGCCCCAGAAGCTGTCCGGCCTGAGCACCTGCGTGAAGTAGAGCGAAAAGTATCGCACTGTCCTTGGCAAATGCCGCTCGAGATGGAAATGTGTTTTGCTGCTGATGAACGACAGGAGGCTTTTGGCAAGGACTGCGACATTCCACTCTGAGCCAACCGCATTCCATTTGCCAGTAAAGTCGCAATGAAGAAGATGTTCACCGACAGTGCAACAACCTTGACGACTGCTCTGACCCATACGGCATGCAAAGGCTTCAGGACAAACAAACAAACAAACAAGATAGCCCGTGCTGTTTGACAGCTCCCTTGATGCGTTGAGCGCATAGCAAAACGCCGCTTCAACGATCCCAGGACTCGCTGCTCCAGCCATGTCTGGCAGGGGACTGTGATTGCATGGGACATGGGACAGGTCCGGTGCTTCAACCCAGATTTGCCTCGCTGATTCTCTTACGCATGTCGAGCGTGCGGGGCCGGGACATCTCATCCTTGGCAAGGCCATGCGGTGCCAGTCTATTAGGGAAGAAAGGTCGGCTCAGAAATGCATAGGTAGAAGGCCGTGTTGGGGATGTCACTCAGTTCCTTGACATCCAGGCCAAAACACTGCGTCCATCAACCAAATCCCACAGTCCAAGCCCGAAGGCCTTCCCGACCGGCACCATGAATGCTACGGAGACCCCAATCAGCGGCAGTAGCACCCAACCTGGCAAGACGGCGGTGCGCGCAAGTACTCCCAACACCGCCTCGTCCCTGCCGCAAGTCAGAAAGCTCATTACCCCACCACCTGTTTTCAGCATAACAAGTTTAAGGGATTCTCTCTCAGACTCTGCTCACCCCATTCGAGCGAGGGCAAGGGCACAAGCATCTCAGTCGGTCTGCTTCAGCATCAATCAAGCCCCGCCTGGAAGAAGCAATAGTTCGAAGATATTGGCGGTCCAACTATCCTCACAACTTCGAGCACCCTCACCACTTCAGGCCAGTCTGAAGCAACAAGGTCGTTCTGTGATGGTTTGGATAAGCTTGCAGAACAGGCCTAGGAAACAAGTTCATCAGTCGGAAGCTTGCCTGTTCAATCATTGCAATGCTTCTTACGTCAGACATAAAAAGGCGCTGGCAGTTGCCTGTCTGGTCGGGCGTATGTATGCAGTATGGGCATGAAACGCACGGGCTTCATTATACCCTTGGTAGCCCTGTAACCTTATCATAATGAGGGTACCCTTTTTGGGCTTGGGTAACTTTTTACAGGAACCCAGAACCCAAAAAAATGGCAAAAGGGTCCCAGCACGGAAGCAAGCATGAGGCATGTTCACAGTTGTCCTCTGCAGGGCCGAACAAGACCACCTGCGACAGGTCTTAGAGAAGCATCCATCAGCCCCCCTTCCCTATCTAATCCTCCTAAGACATCTTGAGACTTCTTGAACCTCATTAACTCTCAAAACCACAACCCCCCAACTCCACACCTGCCCAAACCCTCCCCCACCAGAAGCTGAATCGCCGGGCCCAGGGACATGGCCAGCGCCTTGGCCAAGTGGATTCCCGAGCAAGAAAACGCGAAGAGGTGCGGGCACGACTGCTCAGCGTCACTCGCCGGCCCACTCGGCCGTCATGTTGAAAAAAACGTGTTTATCTGGGACCCGTGCGGAGAAAGTCTTGTAGTTCACCTCACGAACATCACATAGCGATGCCTACATCATGCTGCACCTCTCAAAGTTGTAGATTTGTCTTGGACTTTTGCCCCTGCTCGCGTTCGCCGATCAGCCACCACATTGTCGGCCAAACAAGCATAGATTGTAGAGGAAATCGTTTGCTGGTACCTGGCCCGATGGCGAACTCCAAAATTGCAGCACTCAGCATGAAACCAGGATGCACGCGGAAAATGCCACGGGCACCAAGTAAAGATGCAAATCCCCGTGAAGAGCAAGGCAATGCTCGAGCTGTACACAGCCATAACCATCGCAACTCCTGTTTTGCGGCAGGACCCTCTGCTTGCACTCTGGCAGAATCGTCTACGCTGTGTGCACCACTCTGAACTTTAAATAAACTCTGCACATCCCGGAACCTAAGCCCTTAACCTCCCTCAGATTCAAACTTTTTTGCTGGCTTCTGAACCCCTCCTATAAAGTTAAACTTACAGCCTCCTCGTTATGAATCAGAGCCAGAAGGATGAAGTCATCAGAGCCAAACAGAAGACAGCCAAAACTTTAGCAACCTCTAAAAATGCACAGCTGTGAGGTTGGGGCCTGACAGAACGGCCACAAGCAAGTTGCCACGCAGCAAGTAGTAACCTCCGCTCAGCCATCCTATTGCGAGGCTCCCCCGGCTTTGGCTCCGTTACCCAATGGTGCCAGGGAGCGGTTGGTTTTGTCGCCGATCCAACCAATCGGGTACCTCTAGCTTTGGCGGCCACTTCTGCAACGCACACCGACTCCACGGGCATCGCAGAGCATCGCAGAGCTAAAGGGAGCCAAGCGGCATTAACACCATCGACCTCACGTCATACGAAGACACGGAGAAATCGTTGCAGCAAAGTGCTATCAACCAAGGACGGGACAGTATGCCTTGGGCACTGTTCGCCAATCCCACAAATAAATTTGACGCAGGCTTGCCATAGCGGACCTCGGACCGGATCACAGAGGCCAGAACGAAGCAACCGTTTACCAGCACGGACCAAACACTTTGGGATGTTTGACGTTCAAGGTGTGCAACAGAACAGTTCCTGCAATTGAGCGCATCTTTTCTGCGACGCGCTGCCGCAGCCTGGGGTGCACCCCCAGGGCCTCTTGTGGCTCTTGTGGCATGCGAGGACCCCTATAGAGGGCCCTACCAGTAGAGGGCCCGGCCGGTGGAATTGATCTGCGCAGCATGCGCAGCCTTCTCTGAGAGATAGCTCTGAATGTAGCCCTTGAAGTGTGCATCACCTGAGAACCTGCGGCTATCTGTGGCTGTAGCCGGTCATCTGGGCCCACCTGTCTCTCATCATCGGCCGAGGACTGTCTGAACATTCTGGACGTACTTCTGGCCTCGGTGAACTAGGGAACAATGGAAGACTCTTGGGCACGCCGGTGGCAAGCCAACGGCAAGTCGGTAAGCCACGAACTTACGGGACCCTCCTTCGGAAAGGGAAATCGCAAAGGTCCATCCAGATAGGCTCGCATATTCGGCAGCGCCACCACCTCTGAACTACACCTATGATCACATGACATGGGATGCAAACTTGCGGAATCTGACATGATCCGACTGGATCCGACACCTACCTGCTTGTGCAGCTGTCGCAGCTTGGGATATGGCGCCATGCAGTCGGGGTTAATGTTCAACAGCCTCAAGGGCGGGAGGCACAGCTGAAGGCATCCGGCGTGCGAGTCATAACAACAGCTTCAACATCAACTTCAGCATCAACACCCAGACATCCGGCACTCAGTCCACGCGGCTCTTCCACGAGCTCAGCTAGCCTCGGAAGCAGCTAAGGCAGCGTCGACGAAAAAACTAATCTTGCTCATACAGGGCCTAAGACCTGCTGATGACATGTAGTCTAGGACCTCCGCGACAAATGCCGGGTGAAAGGGCTCGAGCTTAAGGACTCACAGGGATGATATGAAGTAGATTTTAGATTACTTATACCCTACTTCATATGACAAAGACCAACTGGGAGAGGCCTAGGAGCAAAACGTCAGCAGCGCAGAGGCCGGACGCGACAAATCCCAGCGTCCCGTCCGGTCTCGTTTGGACCATGGCCTCCATCGGCTGCATCTGCTTGGCGGTCCTTCTGCAAGTTAGGGTTTAGGGTTTAGGATTTAGGGTTTAGGGTTTAGGGTTGAGGGTTGAGGGTTGAGGGTTTAGGGTTTAGGGTTGAGGGTTGAGGGTTTAGGGTTCAAGGTTTAGGGTTTAGGGTTTAGGGTTTAAGGTTTAGGGCTTAGGGTTCAGGGTTTAGGGTGGAGACGTCCTGGCAGGAGCTTCCGCAGCCAGCATGTCCTGAACCACGGCAACCAACAGGTCTATAAATGGGGGGTGGACGACAATAGGGGACCCCCCCCCCCCCAATACTTATCATAAGGACCCCAACAAGGTATCCCGAATTTCGGAAACCACCAGATGTCTTCACAATCTGCAAGAAGGAGAAGAGCCAGAAGATGGAGACCTGCCTTCTCGGGCGTGAAAGGATAGCTCACCACGATGCCTCGCGCATCCTTGATTCCCTCGGCCACCATGTCAATAAACGCTGCCTCCTCTGGCGTGCTGCCCCAAAGATTTCCTCGCTTTGCCACATACCGCATCATCGCCTGAAAACAGAGACAAGGCGCGCAAATGAGGATTAGGCTCCTAGACCCCTAAACCTTCCACAGCCTAGCCTGCGACTGCACCAGCCGGAGTCCGTCGATTTCCAGCAACGGAAGCTGCCCAAAGAGAAGCTTTCCATCTTTTCTGAGATTCAAGAACTCCTGCAGAAACTTGAGGGGCGCTAAGGAGCTCGGGCGACCCCAACAACATCGCCGGAAGAAGCCGGATTCTGTACAAGCAGCACCGTATCCTCGTGGCGTTGCAGAGCAACCTGCGTGGAGGTGTCAATGAACACATCATCAGGGGACTGTTTCAACAAGATTCCATCTTACGAGGTCAGCGGATGTGAGTCGAAACACTGGCCTGTTCCCACACGATGCCCGCAGCTGCCATCATCCAACGCACCTGCTCCGCCAGACCATAGCCCTCAAAGTATGACAGGCGAACCTCAGCTGTGTGCATGTGCGACTGCTGTACACGGGCTGCTACACTGAGTCATGTCTGCAAGGCAAGCTGCTTCAGACATTGAGGGTGAGCACAGCCTTGCCTGGGATCATCCAAGTGCCCATCCACGAATCCACGGTATGCTACCTACTGAACCCCGGCTTGGGCAGCAAAACTTGGCGCGGTGCCGTCTTGGGATGAGAAGCTTTTCTCAAGCTTCCGAGGAATACCAAGGGCTGCGTGTACAAGCAGGCAGTCAAGAAGACCTGCTGTGCGAAGTGCCAAGCTGATCGAAGCTGCACATGGCACCCACATGGCACCCGCAGATTCTATCTGTGCTCCATCAAGCTTCTACCCCCAAAGAACCTTGAGTTCCTTGCAAACACTACTTAGGCCTTTGATCCTCTGATCTGGTCTCTGCCGATTTCGACTCTCGAAGCACAGACAAGACTTACCAGCAGGGACTTTTGTTGACAGAACATGGATGCCCAACAGGCGCGCGCCGCGAAGCGGAACACAGGACATACGTTCCTGCAACCTGCTGTGTGGAGGGGAAACGTGTCTATTTGCAATTTGCGAGTTCTTTCCGAAAGTCAAGTTGGGCATTGGGATTTGCATGAACCGGATGTGGTCATGAAACACAGCCGGGATGACAAGGATCTGCCAGATTGGCCGCTGTCTGGCCATGCTACGGAACAAGCCTCCCTGCTTGAGCCAAGGCTCACCACAGAGGTCAGAACAACTCGCACTCTTGTGAGGGGCAGAAGCTTAGGCCTTCACAAACCGGATGTCGAAATTAGCTGGAAGATGAGCATCTGGGACCCTGCACTCTCCAAAAAAAGCATCTCATTGCTGTGTCGCGAACAAAAACCAAGAAGTGCTGTTGAAAGCCTCACGGGGGGACTCTGCAAGGATCCAAAGAAGAGACGCGCATCCGTACGGCCTGAGAAGATGAGACAAAGCACCGTGATAAGACCCATGAACCTCCATGACATTCATGGCTAAAGGCCCCGCTCGGCAGTGTGTGATACTCTGTTCCTGGAACTTCGCAGACCTTCGTCCCGTTGATGAACATCACCATGCCCTTACTTTTTTGGGGAGGGTCAGGGCGCGAAAGCAGCGTAAGCAGCGAAGCCACGCGTTGCACTGCCACAATACAAAGGCATCGGCGCCGTGTGAGTCGTCAATCTTCCCCTTGGAGTTTCCCACTCCACTAGCCTCGAGAAAATGCGATCGCGACTTGCAGGTATTCAAGCTTGGTCTTCCCTTGCGACTCCTTGAGCTTGATGTGGGTCCATTCGTGCAGCGGAAGTTCCTTCCTCAGGGAAGATGCCGTGGGACGCTCACTGCGTCAGAAAGAGTTGCAACCAGCAGCTGAGAGACTTACGATCCAAGTTTGCCATAGCACTCGCCGACATGATTGAAAGCGGCAAGTGAGACCCAAAGAAGCACTCCGCAACCCCAACAAATTGTGGGGTGTCTGGAAAGCCCAATGTGCGCCAAGCCACGGAGCTTGGCAGTGCTGCAGCTTGTTGTAGCTCCTCCCGAACAAAAAGGCGTGACTAACCCGAAGACCCTATGAACCCTAAGGCCATGGGGACTAACTTGTTTTTGAAAGGTTGGGGTTGAAACTAGGCATGTGCGATCAACATGTGCCCTGACCTGAAGCACACAGAATCCACTACCTGTGCATAAGAGTCTCAGTGTTCCTTCAGAATGAGGGAGCATTAGCAATTCGAAGAGTACCTCTCTGAGAAGAAAGCAAGGGGAGTTTGTACAGCCTCAGAAGGACTGAGGCGGGCGAAAGCGAGGTATCCTTCATTCCATTCATTCGCATGTCGGCGAGCTCAGCTGGCCGCTCCCAACAATGCAGTTCTTCACAAGCATCGAAGCATAAAAACGAGCGTCACACCGTATCTGCCTAGTGCAGCGGAAGGCCCACGAGGACATGGTTTTGCATCCCCTCCCTGATTTAAGTTCACGGTATGTGACACGGAAGCACCGTGCTGAAGAGAAGCCTTTGATCTCCATCGAGGTTTCAGTCAATGGCTCTACCAGTGACTCTACCAGGGTTTCAAAACAAAAGTCTACAAACTGAGAGGCTGTGAGATGTCAATAGCTTAGGATTTGTGGTCTGGGATGGAAGATTTCGTCGGACACCTACTGCAACCCCACACATGCACCACACCTGTGACTTACAAAAAATTCTGTCACCAGCATAAACGGACAGAAAATGGCAAGCTCGGGTATCTGCCTCCGGTCCAACGTCTCATTTTGCCCAAGAGCATCCATGGTAATTTGGAGATGCGTCCTGGCTCAGGCAAGGAGACTCGTGGCATCGAGGGTCTCGATAAGCTCGTCGGAAGCAGCGACTTGCACACTGCTGCCCCAGTGTTGGAGTCAACAACTTGTTCAACTGTGTCACAATCTCGAACCATCGAAGAAGCACAAACACCAACAACTGCGCAAGGCATACAAGCACGACAGGCGCGCGTGCCATTCGAGAAATAGGCGAAGGGTATACCTGTCATGTGATGCTCTGCCATTGACACCAGCGAGTGAGACTCCAACACCTGGACCCTGCTGGTCAACCCTGAGGCAAACCCGGCAAACCAGCACAAGGGCACGATTTCCAACCTTGGGCTTGGCTCTTACCATGATCCATGTCTCAAACTCCGCCTTCAAAGAGCACTCTGTGGCGCTGAGGCTTGCAACCTTGCAGCAATCCCCATTTCCACTTCCATCCGTGATGTGTAGGATCGAGGTTCCACCTTACTCTGTCTGACACCGGCTGCCACTCAGCCCTGAACCGTCCAAGAGAACATGAGCTCTGGACATGTGTACATATCAGAACAGTTCGAGCTCAAAGGATACTTGGCTGGCCAGGACCTGAGATCCAGAGCCCGAGGATCAAGAAAAGGGTGCAAGGCATGTCAAGTTCTGAGTTAGGCTCGGCCGAATCTCAAATATCAGCTCGAAGTTGCTAAACCTCGTAGTTCATCTTGCAACTCTTGTGTGACCCTGGCAACCTTTTTGCACGAATCACAACTCCAATCGAGCGTGCGGCGTGTTCACCAAAAAGTTTCCAGGCAATGGAGCCTGGGATCCGACGGTGATTGGATCATCTGAGATTACCTCGGACGGTTTTCCAGTCCAGTCCCATCTGGCGAGAGAAACGTCGACACACGGTTCCGAACCTGTTGCTCTTGTGAAAGGTGATAGAGGAAAATGTCGAAGATACCACCGAAGCACATGGTGTACCTGTAAACTGCAAACGTACGCGTGCACAGGTCCTCGCATGCTGTCTCTGTGCTGGTCATCCGAAAACTGCATGGGTTTGCCCAGGGCACAAGGTCATGTGCAAGAAGTTGCTCAAATAAATGAGCCGCTCATTCCGCTTCCAGACTCTGTCCTCCCGCAGCCTGCAAGGTTCTCAACTACATGTATGCAAAATCTCATGCTGTGAAAACTCTTTCCCAGCAGTGGCTAAGCACGGAGCTGGTCAGCATGATCCTGCAGCTGGTAATTTGGCTGCATGAATGCTGGGATTAAGATCTTGCCGACAAGTCCTGGGAGGATGGCGACGGGAGCTCCGAGGAAGCGACGCTCATAATGTGTCACGCCTTCAGTTCCCAACTCGCAATTGCACACATAAGTCCGCTAAACCCAGTGCAAGTGCCCAGCGACAGCCACGATCGACTTCTTGTGGCTGTCATCGCAATATGTTGCCGCAAATGTATGTATCTTGCATAGTTGGCGAAAATTATGGGGCATGGCAAGAACATGAACTCATCAAACCTTGATATTGTCCGTTGACCGTGAGCCAGATAGGTTGATGCCTATTCGTGACATTGGGTCATTGGGCCAAACAGCTTGGAGATGAGCTCGGCTTGTTGAAGAGAGCAGTGTTGTCTTCTCATTGATGGTTTTTGGGATGTGTTGTAGGGTTCGGGGCGCTATGCTCGGGTTTAGGATGTATCTTTTCGTTTTGGACTTGAGTTGCCCGGGCCCGGTTTAAGGTGGCTGCTGTTCGGTTTTGGTTCACCCTATCTCAATCACAGTTTGACTTTGCATTGATGGCGCTGTTCAACTACTCAGGGTCCAAGGATGGGACGTGGTGCGCCTAACACCTACGGCATCTGGCAGAGGGCAACGCCGAAGTCAGCAAACAAAGTCGAAAACATGGAGGCCGCAGTCGAAAAACGAGGACGTGGAGTCGGAAACATGAGGGCCACTGTCGGAAAACAGCAAGGCAACAATCAAAAACATGACGGCCGCAGTCGAAAAACAAAAAGCCGCTAGCAGGAAGCAAGAAAGAATATACGCCCGCCTCCGCTGCCCCAGTTAGAAAATTCAGAATTAGAAAAAGCCACAGTCGCAAAACGCAAAAGCCACCATCGGAAGCAAGCAATCCGAAAGGGAAATTTTACGGTCGTTGTAATGCATTGACGCGATGATCCCTTGAGTCTTCAGAGGCTCCCAAATTAGAAAAGTCAGCATTAGAAAAAGCCACGGGTCAGCAAACACGAAGCCGCAGTCAGCAAGCGAACCGCCACAACAAAACGCGCCAGGTCAAGTAAGCGCTCCGTAAGCCGCAACTAGAAAAGTCACCATTAGAAAAAGCCACGGGTCAGCAAACACGAAGCCGCAGTCAGCAAGCGAACCTCCACAACAAAGCACGCCAGGTCAAGTAAGCGCTCCGTAAGCCGCAATTAGAAAAGGAGGGCCAATTTTTTGGGGTCCTTTTTTTGGGGGGGGTCTTTTTTTTTCTTGTTTTTTCCTAAGAAAACCACCATTCCCTCTATATGTTTAAAGGACTTGATGCATTTTCGTGGTTGTTCGTACGAAAAACCGTAATTCCCTCTGTGTTTTCATAGGAAGGCGTTATTTCTTGTAGGTTTTAGAAGAAAAAAAGAAAGAAAGAAAGGAAGGAAGGAAGGAAGAAAGAAAGAAATGAAGAAAAAAAGGAAGGAAGGAAGGACGAAAGGAAGGAAGGAAGAAAGGAAGGAAGCAAGGAAGGAAGAAAGGAAGGAAGGAAGCAAGGAAGGAAGAAAGGAAGCGTGCTTCAAAGCCCAAGAAACTAGTTGAAAAAACATCGTGTGAGCATTGTGTTTGCAAAAGGGGGGGCTGCGCCCCCCCCAACCCCCCGCTTTTTTTAAGCCGTGCAAAGCGTGCTTCAAAGCCCAAGAAACTTGTTGACACCCATCATGTGAGCAGGGTGTTTGCAAGTGGGGGGGGTCTGCGCCTCCACCAACCCCCCCCCCCCCGCTTCTTTTCAGCCGTACCAAGCGTGCTTCAAAGCCCAAGAAACTAGTTGAAAAACATCGTGTGAGCATTGTAATGGGGGGGGGGGGCTGCGCCCCCCCCAACCCCCCGCTTTTTTTAAGCCGTGCAAAGCGTGCTTCAAAGCCCAAGAAACTTGTTGACACCCATCATGTGGGCAGGGTGTTTGCAAGTGGGGGGTGGGTTGCCCCCCCCCAAACCCCCCCGCTTCTTGTAAGCCGTACCAAGCGTGCTTCAAAGCCCAAGAAACTAGTTGAAAAACATCGTGTGAGCATTGTGTTTGCAAATGGGGGGGGGGCTGCGCCCCCCCCAACCCCCCCGTTTTTTTTGCCGCGCAGAGCGTGCTTCAAAGCCCAAGAAACTTGTTGACACCCGTCATGTGAGCAGGGTGTTTCCAAATGCGGGGGGCGGGGCTGCGCCCCCCCCAACCCCCCCCCACTTCTTTCAAGCCGTACCAAGCGTGCTTGAAAAGCCCAAGGAACTAGTTGAAAAACATCGTGTGAGCATTGTGTTTGCAAGTGGGGGGCTGCGCCCCCCAACCCCCCCCCGCTTCTTGTGAGCCGTACCAAGCGTGCTTCAAAGCCCAAGAAACTAGTTGAAAAACATCGTGTGAGCGTTGTGTTTGCAAATGGGGGGGGCTGCCCCCCCCCCCCCCCCACCAACCCCTCCGCGTTTTTTTGAAGCCGTGCAGAGCGTGCTTCAAAGCCCAAGAAACTTGTTGACACCCATCATGTGAGCAGGTTGTTTGCAAGTGCGGGGAGGCTGCACCCCCCCCAAACCCCCCCGCTTCTTTTAAGCCGTACCAAGCGTGCTTCAAAGCCCAAGAAACTAGTTGAAAAATATCGTGTGAGCATTGTGTTTGCAAATGCGTGCTTCAAAGCCCAAGAAACTTGTTGACACCCATCATGTGAGCAGGGTGTTTGCAAGTGGGGGGAGGCTGCCCCACCCCCAACCCCCCTCGCTTCTTTTAAGCCGTACCAAGCGCGCTTCAAAGCCCAAGAAACTATAGTTGGAAAACATCGTGTGAGCATTGTGTTTGCAAATGGGGGGGGGGGCTGCGCCCCCCCCCCCCCCCCTTTTTTTGTTTAAGCCGTGCAGAGCGTGCTTCAAAGCCCAAGAAATCATGTGAGCATGGTGTTTGCAAATGGGGGCGCAGCCCCCCCAACCCCCCCCGCTTCTTTTAAGCCGTACCAAGCGTGCTTCAAAGCCCAAGAAACTAGTTGGAAACATCGTGTGAGCGTTGTGTTTGCAAATGGGGGGGGCTGCGCTCCCCCCAACCCCCCCCCGCTTTTTTTAAGCCGTGCAGAGCGCGCTTCAAAGCCCAAGAAACTTGTTGACACCCATCATGTGAGCAGGGTGGCTTTTACGTTTGACGAAATCCGTCCAAAATGTAAGCAGAATAGGGTTTCCTTAGGAAAAAACCAACGAAAACCTCAAGGAAATGACAGGATATCTGTCCAACATGTAAGGAAAATGGGGTTTTCCCTAGGAAAAACCTAGGAAAACCTAAGGGAAATGACAGGAAATCCATCCAAAATGTAAAGAAAAAAAGTTTCCCTATGAAAAACCAACGAAAACCTAAATAGCCTGAAGCCCCTCAAGTATGGCGTCGCGTTCGCAAGGCCGTCGCGGCTACAAGCTTGCGGACGCAGAGATACGAGATTTCGTGTTTTGAGCTAGAGGTTTAGGAGACAGTTCACGCAAAGCAAAGGCATGTTTTGTGCTTCCCCGCCCCGGACTTGACTCCTCTCTTCTTTTTCAGAATCCGTCTCGGGGCTGCTGGCATCTAGAAACAGGAAGTTTATGTGTTGCCAGCAAGCGCCAGAACCAAACGAACGACCCCACAAAACGCAGGTCTCCATGGCACCCTTTTTTGCTTTTTGTGTGCATCGGTTTGAAATTTGCCGTGTTTTCAGTCTGGTCCGGGCTGGATCGTACTCAACAGCCTGCTGACGCTCCACGCTTTTGTCGTGGAGCGGATAGAGCGACTACACAGGTAGTTGGTTTTTGGTGCCGGTGGAATCTGCCTGGCGAGTATTTGCGTCTCAAAAGGCTTCGCGGAGCTCACGAAATTAGGAGACGCGATCTGTGCCCTTAGACGTTCCGTTTCGCACCATGGGTGCGGAACTGTACCGGCTCCATCTGCCAATCCCCTTTCACCAAAACGAAAACCATTGCTGTTCACACCTGCAGCATCCAACACAAGTGAAGATGCGCGACAGTAACCCAACACATTGTTACCCCACACATGGATACGAAGAGGCGAAGAGGCGGCCACAAAAGCTCGTCTCACGAAGAGGCAATTGGCAATTAGCCACCTTACTCCTCACTGAAGAATGAGCTGGAGCTGAGAGCTTCGGGCTGCAGATTTTCGCACAGGGTTTAGGGTTTAGGGTTTAGGGTTTAGGGTTTAGGGTTTCGGGTTTAGGGTTTAGGGTCTAGGGTTCAGTTGGCTCCCGGGATGTTATCGTGCATGCTCGGGCCGCCACGAAAAACTGCATGAAAGAAGCAGAGAAAGCTCGTGAACAAGGACGTCCTCGACCCAAGGGAGATGTGTATGCGTGGGAGGCCATTGCCAGGGTTGCTGAAGTGTGCTGATGCTCTGCCAGATGAGAGAAGCAGCATTCGGAAAACAGGGGCAACAGTCAGCAAAACAGGCGTCGAAAACAGGGACGCAACAGTCGCAAACGACCACGGCCGGAGTCAACAACACCCAGGCAACAATTCAAAAACACCAGCGCAAGAGTCAGCAAACCCAGAGCAGACCAGAACCGCTGGTAAACACGAGCCCGTGCGTCAGAAAGCACGAAACAGCTCAGAGTCGCAAACACGAAAGCCGCAGGTCAACAAACAAGGCTTGTTCTTTCAGTCAGTCAATCTCATTACTCTGCATAGCTGAGTGAAGTCTACACTCATAAGAATCCAGCCTCGCAAACATGGCTTGTTCTTTCAGTGAGTCAGTCTACTTTCTCTGCTTAGCTGAGTCAAGTCTGCACCCATAAGAATCCAGCCTCGCATGCAGGGAACGAATTCGGACCAGACCGGGACCCTAAGGCTCTATGCTCTGTACACCCTCTTTTCCGGAGCTTGGACTCCCATTCCCTGTCAAATCCCTCCCTGTCCCCGGTATCTCACTTGAATCAGCGAATAGAACTTGTAAGGTCATATTTGTCCCACTTAGATATTCATTTACCCCAAGTTTAAACAAATAACTGGCTTGACAAACATAAGTGGAGGTCTGAGAAAGTCCAGCTACCCCAAAGTAAAACATATGTTGTACATGAGTTCACATTGGGCAAAAACCATTTTCTCCAGAAATCCCATGTTT